TTTCCTTTTTATGGGCCCTTTTCCAAAAACATCACATTTATTTATGTTCATACTCATTTCTCATTAGGGGGAAGAGCAATTGTAGATTCAGTGATGTATGTCCATTATTGATGTCTTTAATTTGACAACATGCCCACATAGATGGCTAGGCTTCACTGAATCTTTAAAGGGGCTGGAATTTTGTGCCAGCCAAAAATCAAAGCAAATGTAAGCATTTCAGGATTTTAAAAAAATGTCACAGTTGCTTTTGTATGTTTTCTCGCTATCAATGCTGCTGTAACTAAAAATGTTTAAAGTTTTTTCACGCTTCTGATGGATTGTGTTCATGTCACAGGGCCGTCTGTGTAAGGCCATGAAGCCTCTGAAAGGCAAACTGATGACCAATGGATATAAAAATCTGGTGATGGGATGGCATGTACACTTAACTGGGGTTGGTTAAACAAAGTAATAAGCAAGTTCTCTCTCCTGACAGGATTTTTTTTCCCCATATGCCCATTTAAAATAAAAAAAACGCCCACATTATATCCTCCCTAAACCTTTCGGCTGAGGATGTAAATGAGATCTGGTCGTCAGTGTTTATTTGCTGAGTGTCCCTCTTGTAGCAAGAAGAGTTTGGGATGCCACATGAGGGCTGAGGGTACACCCCTCTCCTTCCTCTTCACCTCCACCCTTCAACCTCCTCCCTCTCTCTGATTGCTTTCCTGAGTCTCATAAGGATTCCATTGAGGAGAAATGCGTTAGAGAACTTTAATAGTGCAGGCAAACCAGATGCAAATGAACCAGGAGGAAGCCCAGTCATATCAAACTGGGACAAACAGCTCGGTGTGTCTGTGTCTGGGTCTTCTTGTGTAAATGCAAATATGAAGCATGCATTGATGGCCCTTTAACCAAAGCAGGATTGTAAGGTTCTACAGTTCTTATTACTGTAACATTTACCCAACAACGCTCTGAGAGCATCAAATGAAATTCCTTGTGCAATGGAGAAGCTTTTGAAAAGTTTTTTCCAAATAAGATTAAAATGTTGTTTTTATCATGTATTCAGCTGAAGAATAGCAGTCTTAATAGATAGATAGATAGATAGATAGATAGATAGATAGATAGATAGATAGAT